GTGCGTTCAATCCATCGGGGTTGCGAAACAAATCGCAATACTTCTCTACTCACTTATCCAATGGGGATATTTGGATGGTTTCAGAGACCCATTTTTTTGGCAAAGACGTCTCCAAGTTTCGTGCTGGGCTCAAAGCGGCCAAAGCCAGACACCGCTACTGCATTACAGACCGCACTTCATTGAGGCCTGGACTCACGTCACAAACGGCTTGGAAAGGGGTAGCTACGATTGCCAGCTATCCCACCAGGGCTATGCCTTCTGCGATGCCCAAATGTTTGAATGACACGGGTAGGGCTCTCATGACTACTACTCTGGTAGAGGATGCTTGGATTTCTGGTGCAGTTCTATATGGTGAACCAGATGGGCATTTGTATCCAAACCACATCAGAAACAATGAGTTTCTTTTGCACCACGTGGCAGCGCAGGTATGCCACTTGACATCGGGTATGAGGTATGTAGCTGGTGATTTTAACGTTTTGCAAGATTCACTGCCTGCGTTTTCCATTCTACATGCAGCGGGTTTTAAAGATTTGCAAGACATTGCCAATGAGAGGTGGGGCACTTCTGTTGTTCCTACCTGCAAACATGCGACAAGAAAGGACTTCCTTTATGTTAGCCCTGAACTCCAAGAGTTGCTGACTGAGGTGGTGATCAGACATGATGTTTGGCCGGACCATTCGGTTCTCCAGGGGTATTTTAGAATGCCAAGTTTTGCCTCCAAAAGCTGGGTTTGGCCTGTGCCTAAACCTTTTCCATGGCCTCAGGAGTTTGGTTCTGATGTTTGTTGGCGTAATGAACTTTTGCCCACACAGGCCTATCAACAACTTTGGCATGACATTGAAACCCAGGCAACGGTTGTTTGCCCATTTCCGGTTGGGAACGCTATGAAAGGCAGGGCTCACAGATTGAGACCAAAACAGCTGCGAACCTCACAGAATGGTCCAGTTAAGTTAGGTCATGATGGTGATTTTCAGCCGCAATTTTGTGGAGTGTCTGTCAAACATGCTCAATGGGTGCGTCAAGTGCGTAGACTCCAAACCTTTTGTAGATTGATGACCAGCTCTGCTGACGTGGTCATTCAAGTTGCTGAATCTTGGGGATCCATCTTGCGCGCCAAGGGTTTTGAACCAGACTTTGCAGGTTGGTGGGAAATCAATGAGTGTAAAACCTCAGGGGCTCCGACGCAATGTCCAATTGCACCACCGCCCCTGCATGTTGCCACAGCCATGTTTGACAGCCTTGCCAAAGCCACACGGTGCCTTGAATCTGACTTGATGAAGTATTCTCGCCAGTATGCAAAGTACAGACGGGAACAGAATCCCAATTTGATTTTCTCTGATATCAAGCCTTCTGCAGCGCCGGGGGTTGACATCCTGCTGCAGCCGATACGGGCTAAAGTGGTTGAAATTGATGAGGAGGAAGGGAAACTGGTCCTTGACAAACCCTGTGCTTTTGCAGAGGAAACCCAGATCCTATGTGATGGGATCCCTTTGGACATCATTCATCATGAAGCCGATGCAGTTTGGGTGCATGATTTTGACAGGGTGAAGGTGGGAATGCCTCTCTCCCAAACCCAGTGTATAGGTACGCCGCAAGCTCTGGCGGACTTATTTGTGAGTGCATGGAAAGAGCGGTGGATGCGTCATGCAGATGTCCCGATTGAGCGTTGGAATGCCATTCTTGCCTTTGCCAAGACCCACATTCCACCTGGTAGATTTCAATGGGATCCTATTTCACCTGCCCAACTTGCCCAAGTGATCAGATCCAAAAAATCCCGCACATCTGCAGGTTTTGACGGTGTGACACTTAGAGATCTCAAAAGTATGCCACCGGCTGTTTTGCGTGCCTTTTGTGACATGTATGCAGTAGCTGAATCAACTGGTGCATGGCCAAGTCAGTTGGTAGATGGCAGGGTGGTTAGCCTGGCCAAGGTGGCTTCACCAAGTGGCCCTTCTGATTTCCGACCCATAACCATTTTTGGCTTATTGTACCGCTGCTGGAGTAGCTTTCATGCACGTCAGGCACTGACCAGGTTGGATGAGGTTTTGCCAGCAACTTTGTATGGGAGTAGGCCGGGAAGACATGCCACCCAGATTTGGTCACGACTGTTGTGGACGATCGAGGATTCATTTGCCATGGATGTGCCCCTTACAGGTGCTGTTGCAGATTTGACCAAAGCTTTTAACTTTTTGCCCCGGGTTGTCGTGATGGAACTGGCAGCACACATGGGAATTCCTGCATATGTTTTGCTCTCATGGACTGGAGCGCTCACTAGCATGAGACGACGGTTTCAGCTGCGAGACTCTCTCTCATCGGGAGTTGCCAGTGTGACAGGTGTGCCAGAAGGCTGTGGATTGAGCTGTGTTGCGATGGTCCTGGTGGATGTTTGCTTTCACACATGGATGAGGGTGTATTTCCCGCTGTGTATGCCTGTATCTTTTGTGGATGATTGGCAGCTTCTCACTTGCCATCCCACCCTGCTTCAGGGAGCCATTGACTGTATGAATCGCTTTGTCACGGCAATGGATCTTCATCTTGATGACAGGAAGGCTTATGCATGGTCCATTTCTATCCATTTCTACTGAAGGCCGCACTCTTTTGCGAACACAGGGTTTCAAAGTGGTGTTGGGGGCCAAGAATTTGGGAGCCCATGTTCAACTCTCCAGAAAACACACCAATTCTGCGCTTCAAGATCGAATTTTGGACATGACTGACATATGGCCTAGGTTGCGCCTTTCCGCATGCAGATATGGGAACAAGATCAAAGCACTAGTCACGGCTGCCTGGCCGCGTGCATTACACGCCATCGCAGCGAACACTGTCAGTGATGCTTCCTTTCAAAAATTGCGTGCTGGAGCAGTCAAGGGATTGGGAGTAGATGGTGCAGGCGTCAACGCCTGGATCCAGCTAGGGTTAATAGAGCAAGCCACTGTTGACCCCCAATGCTGGGCCATTTTGCAAACATTTCGGTGCATCAGGGATTGTGGTGATAAAGGTAGAGTTCTGAAAATGCTGTCTGCTTTGGCCTATGGAGATGCTACCCAACCGGCCAACAGCTTTACCATGACTTTACTTGCTCGTGTGCAGTTCTTAGGCTGGCACGTCACACCGCAGGGAACCCTGTATGACTGCCTAGGTGAATTTTGCATCTTTTCTTGCTGCCTGACCGAGCTGCGTATGAGAATTGGCTGGGCTTGGCAAATGGTTGTTGCACAACAAGTGAAACACAGGTGGGGATTGCGAGACTTGCAGTTTGCAGATCCGACGGACACGAGACTTTGGCTGGCTGGTCTTTCGTATGATGTTCAGGCTTTGTTTCAGAAGTGCTTGAATGGGTCCCACATAACGCAAGACTGTAAGGTTCACTGCCAGGAGGCGGGAAGTGATCTCTGTCCATTCTGTCAGTCAGTTGACAGCAGGTTTCATCGGTTTTGGGTTTGTGAAAAGTTTGAACCATTAAGAGCCACATTGCCTGACAGCTTGCGCAAACTTGTTGCTGATGCACCAGAATTTTTGACATGCTATGGCTGGAGTGTTAGACCCCATACTCTCCGCAGATGGTATGCGTGTCTTCACCAGATTTGTGTGCCGCCACCACCCTACCTTCTTGAGGTCACGGGTGATTTGCATTTTTTCACTGATGGCAGTTGTTTAAATCAACATGATGCTTCCTGTCGAGTTGCTTCCTGGTCTGTAGTTCGTGCGTGGACGAGTGCAGATACTCCTAGCGAAGTAATTGACAGTGGCCCCCTGCCGGGCATGCTTCAAAGTTCCTATCGAGCTGAAATTTATGCTATTTACAGAGCTTTGTTGATTGGTCGTGCACATCCAGTCCGTCTTTTCCTGTGGACTGATTGCAATGCGGTAGTCAAAAGATTTTTGCGTTTGCAGAGGGGTTTGGCCCCACGCCCAAACAGTGCTCATGCCGACTTGTGGCTTGCAATTGCAGAGTGTTTGAGTGATTTTCCGCATGAAGTAACCATAACCAAAGTTTTAGCACATCAGAAGGAACAACATGCTTGTAGCCCTTTGGAAGACTGGTGTATTAGGAATAATGCTCTGGCTGACAAAGCTGCACTCTTGGCTCAGTGGCGCCGACCGGAGGGATTTTGGTCTGAGTATGCTTGTCATGTTAATGCGGTACAGGCCAGCCGAGATTTTTCCCGCGCGGTGCAGCAGGTCATTTTGGCCATCAGCAAAGAAGTGGTACGTGCCATGGATGAACCTGATGTTGAACTCCGTGAGGAGTTATGCTGCTCTCCTGAGGTTCCTGCTCAAGCGTGTCGGGCTATTTCTGCCCTTCACATTCCCCCAGCGGCGACCAGATGGTATGGTGATGGAGTGGTAAGGCAGATCCTCTCCTGGTATTGGCAAAACACGTATGGTAATGAATTTCCGACTGTTTGGGTGTCCCAATTTCAATTGTATATTGACTTCATGTTGGCCGGGGGTGTTGGTCCTATCAAGCTAACGCATTGGCAAGCTGGGTCAAGCCGGCCTGAATTGGAGTTGTTGAACATACCATTTCAGCGAAGGACAAGATGGTTTTGCAAAGTTCTCAAGGAGGCCTTGCGTCACCACGGCCTTGGAATCTCATACCAGTATTGCAGACCGGTGTCACGAGCATTAAATTTGCATACAGGGTGCCTGGCCACTCCATGGCCACCGGATAGGCTTGCTGCAGTTGATGACTGGATTTTCAGGATGATTCCCATTGGTGTCCATCGCAATTCCAAAGCTCTGGATTCATTACCTACTGCGAGGCCACATGCCGATTTCCCAACCATTTGGATCTCAACTTGTTAGATGACGCCTTAAAACAGGCTGTCAACGTTTCGACCTTGGCAGCATGTTTAACAAGAGTGGAACAAGAGTGGTGGTTTGGAACATGGCTGTTATGATTTTCCATATATTGGGAATAATATTCCCAACTGACTTTCCGATTTTTTAGAGGGGTAGGTATACCACCAACCAGATATGGTCCTGTGTCAACCGCTGAGGTGGCTTTCGAAGGAATGATCGAGTTGGATGATGAAAGCTCCACAGACCATTTTGAGAGCGTGCAGTGACTTGGCGACTGCGACGGAATCTGCGGGATACCGGGTTTGTAATCGATATGGCTAATCAATATTAATCAATATCCTCCACTGGTGTGCTCAGATGAGGCCTCATTACACCTCTTGGAGGTGCCTATTCGGCTCCCATTTCTTTGCTGCAACTCGTCCCCCGGGGTTTGCCAAGGTCCACCAATTGGCAAACACTTCGCTGGTCTTTTGGCGGCAAGGGCGCGACACTATGGGATCAGTGGGCTTCTAATGGGATTTACCCTCTGGTAAACATACAAAAGACTATGGAAAATCCACCATTTTTAATGGGAAAATCCACTATTTCAATGGCCATTTTCAATAGCTATGTTAAATTACCAGAGGGTAAGGGATATATGGCGAACATTTAAGGGATGTAATTGGATTTATTCGATTAGATGCATGTGAAATGATATGATTACATGGGATAAATATATGGATAAATGGGATATGAATAGAATATAAGTGGAGATACAGTCGTCGATCCCCTGTTCATACTAAGCACTTCCCAGAAAACGTATGGTGGATCTAGGGGATAAAATCACATCAATAGGGGACCATAGAACAGGGAATTAATATAGGATTCAGGCCTCAATTGGTTGGACAACTCAAATTTCTAACTGATGGATTTTTTTTGGTGGATTTAAATTTGAAAGCAATCCATACGTATACATATGTATATGTATATTTATATTGGACATCAAACATATGTTTCTGAGAGGAAACTCAACTTTCATTTGGACAGACTTTCCGACTTTTGGAGAATTCCGGCGGTTTTCTCGGCCCTTGTGTCGGCTCCCCTCACTTCAGGAAGCCACCTCCCAACAGCCGCCCGGATGCACCACACATCGGCTGGCGCACGGAATTTCGCTCGATGGAGATTCAACTGACGGATTTCGAGAACGCGGCCTTCACGGCCTTCATGGCATCTGGGCCATTCATATTATCCATATCTAACAGTAATGTAATGTAAAACATGGGAGATGTTTTTTTGGATGCAAATCAGGAGTTGATTTGTTTCAAGCTGGTTTGTGGTTTCAGTTCACAAGCAGTCGTCAATCAGCATCATTCTATCTCAAAGAAACATGAAAAACATGAAGCCACCAAGGATAATACCCGCTGGCAATCAAAGATGGCCGGGAAATCCACGAACAAAATGGGCACTTTAATTGGAAAATCATCTATGGTTGGGTGATTTGTTTCAGCAAGCCATGTTTGACTACTTATTTGGTAGACCCTGGGATTTTGGGATGAATACCCTAACTGTGAACTAACAGTTTGCGAACTGGAACATCACAATATTTAAGTTAGGTAAATCAACTATTTCCAAGGCCACAACTTCCATAACTATCTTACTTGGATGCGCACTTCAGTTTCGAATGGTTTATAACCAATTTTTATATAAATAAATATCTATATATATACTGTATATTTTGTACTTTCCATATATTATAAATAAATAAATAAATATATTTATATATACATAACTCGGGGTATGCCGGGGTATAATTTATTGTTAAGTTCCATTGGTAAATGATCCACTTATCTCCTTTTATGCAGCCCGAGGTCGCCGAGGTCGGTCTAATATTTCCAGGTCTCCACCGTGGCCAGGTCCTGATCTCGCGAGCCATCCTGGTCTTCCACCTGGACATCTTGGCTCCTCTCTCCAAGGTCGATGAGAACATGCGACGTGCACCAGGCGCAAAGAGATTTTTTTTTTAAGTGGACCCCCATGGACGGCCCCATGTTTTTTTCGTGCTGAGATATATGCAGCTTGAATATAATCTGTTTATAGGGTAAGTTGTTCGTCATATTATCCGGATCATAATATGTAAATAATTATGTCATTATATATATATATTTAATAATGATAATAAGTTATTAAGTGTGTAAGAAACATATTTGCCCCAGTGAAATTGCGCGTTCAGATGGGATACCAGCGAGCTTGCTAACTGGGATGAACATCCCAGTATATGTGGGAAATCGTCTATGTCCGAGATTATCTCAAAACTTATTTAGAATGTGCCTGATTTCAGGGTTGATAAGGACAGCTGATTGGAAGTTAAAATCAGAGGAATCATCCTCTAAGACAGCGTTGCTAATTTCAGGTTTGTGAAGTATCGAAACATATCAAAACTAATTATTTTGATTTGCCCAGATGAGATGTCTCTTTTTGATTTGGACGGTCACCACGGACGGGTGACCAGCTGAATGGTTTGGTATTGTGGTTTCAACATATTTCAACCAGCCCCTCACCCCAATTGATGGTTAATCAGCCCTTATCTAGTGATTGATGTGATTGTTGGTTGTCAAGAAGCACCCCAATCAGTTCGTACCCTCAGAGCTGGTTATTTAACATAGCCATGGAAAATCACCACTTTTAATAGGTAAACCCAGGTAAACCATCTATATATAAATGGGCCATTTTCCATGGCTATGTTCAATAACCAGAGGGTAATAAACCCTTAAATCCAAGAATCCCCTTTTTTCGGGGGGGACACCTCGCTGGGAGGCATCTCCATGATCCCAACCCGTTGTTTCCATTGAAATTCCCCGCAGGACACAGAAATTCTGGTTCCGGACGCAAGTGGAACCTGCCGCTCGGTTTCAATGTTGTGGAACACCCTTGCCGGGGATGATCATATCCAACGTGAAGCAAATGAGGTTCATTGACTAGTTGACTTATGAAATGGTTGATTTCTTTTGATCAAGTATTGTAAATGCAGGTATATGCCCATATGCATGCGTGATATATTTACACACTGTATATAGACTATATACATATATATACACATGTATGTGCATAGGTTTGTGTATGTATGCTTTTATTTATCCATACGTTCACCTATCTACAGTATTTTTTTTGGTATTTTTATTTTGACGCCCGGCCAGCTGAAACCAGGAGACCAGATATGAGATGTGCGAGATGTCCATGGATGAAATTATGACACTCAGCGGTGAAAGGTTTGAAGAATGTCTTCAGGGGAATGTTTTTTTTTGACAACCACCAAAAAGATACCCTGGAGTTTTCAAGTTGGAACCGTTGGAACATGTTGGAACCCGGGAGAATATGGGGAAAACACCATATAGAAACACGGTTCTATCAGTTTTGGGGGGGTGCTGCGAAAATCCACATGAACCATCCTACCTACCTGCCGAGTTTCATTGCTAAGCCCTGATCGGGTAGGTTGATGCACTATTCTGCTGGAGAAAACCAAAAAACATACGTTTTGGTCAGAACAAGGTTGCAACAGCTATTCTTTACACGGAGAACAGACGTTTGGACAGCAGCCAAAAGGTTTGTTATGCAGAGTGGCACTTATTCTTTCTTTTTGCGAAAGTCTTTCCCCCAAAAAACGTATATACATTCTTTACTACACTTTTGTTTTTTGGCCTTGCGGGCAAGTGTTCAACTCAAAAGCAAGCATGTTTGTCCCTTCGGTTTGCACACCTGAAAAGAAAAACTGACGAAGCATGACGAAGCTTGTTTTGTTTTCGGTCAGGACAGGTGTTTGAGAGAAACTGTTGCTTCAGTCTGCATGTTTTTTCACAGCACGAAGTTCACAAGTTTGTTTCTGACCTGGTGCAAAACTATTGCTCAACACCTTTGAACTTTGAACTGTGCTTTTTTGAATATTGCTTTGGCAACCACATGTTCAGTTCCATTTTCATCCTCATGCCCTCAAAAACGGCTGATGTCACCGCCAGGAACGGAAGTCTTCGAAGCGACTTCCCCGGACTGATTCCACTGTGTCCCTGATTTGGATCGCCGATCCCCCCAACAAGGCTTGAAGTGCCCATGTTGTTTTTGGATTTTCCAGCCATGTGAGGCCCCTCAGTCATAAGTTGGTTTATAAGCCCCAGTAACTATAGTTATAAGTACCATAAACCATAGTTCTTGGATTTTCCAGCCATGTTTGATTTTGATCTATCCAGTAGTTAGGAGGGAGCGATTCGGAGCGATTCGGGTATTATTGGGTATTCATATTCCCTATTTTTCATGGAGCGATTTGGAGCTACCAAGAGTTTCCCAACCACATACTAGTTATAGATGTTATTTTCCTGCGGCTCGATGGTTGTCCATGTTTCTTTGGGGAATACTGATGCTGATGGATTAGTGTTTGTGGAATAAAGTGAAACCACAGCCCAGATTTAAAAAAGAACTGAAACCACAAACTAGTTTTTAAAAAACAGAACATATAATCACCATTTTTAATGGGAAAATCCACTATTTGCATACCACAAATAACCTTTCATGTTTCAAGCCCCCGATGTTTTGGCTCGCTGGTGTTGGACCGGAAACTGCCCTCAGAAAGGGATTCTGCCTCTTTTGAGACGTCCAAAAAACATCAGCTTGTTGTTTTATTTTGCCGACTCGTTGTTCAACGATTTTTCCAACCATATTGTTTGTGCTGTTCTCCCTTGTTCATTTTTTCCAACATGGGCATATATATATATATATACATATATTTAGAGATATAATGAAATACTGTATCAGCCTGTCAGCTCATTGTCTGAATTTTGGGCCCCGTTTCTTGGATGCTTGAGAAGGGGTTCCATTTTTTTCCATGGATTGCTGTGGCTCCAAGGTTATGCATACCTCAACTACATCCATTGTGATGAGGCGTCCTTTTCACGTCTTGATCAGTCTCTTGATCTGTTCAGGTCGGTATTGAAATGGTTTGGAATAAGGAGTAATGTTGACCCTGGATGTGGCTAAACCCCAGGTGTACCAACCTTAATGGCAACTTGCCACTATTTTGAGGGTAACCTACAATTTATGATTGTCTTCTTTATTCTTGTGGTGACCTTTTTGAACATGTTGTGCCAATCATGGTGTGCCATTTTTTTCGGGGTATGCATATAGCATATATGGGGGTTTCATAAAATATGAGGAACCCGAAATCATCCATGTTGATTAATAGGATTTTCCATGAAATAATTCTTCCAGCTATTAGGGCACCCCCATGACTTAGGACACCCCCATATAGCGATATGTACCAGTTGATTCTCGTGATGACTTTGACCCCGTGGATTCTCTAGCCGCAAGCTCGGCACTGATCCTGCGACCCGGCGGCTTTCAGTGACTGGTGCTTCTGACAAATGTATATCCACAACCACCCCCAGAATAGGTACAAAAGTATACACAAGTTGTAAATCTGGAAATATGAGTTGTATATATAAATATCCTCTGTATAATCCTGTCAATTGTCAACAGGATTCCATCTTATTTAGAGGCATCGTGACATCGTCCTGCTTTAACAACTAAAATTGTATAATTAAAATTGTTGCTTGGAGTTTCTGTAGAAGAAACCTGAAATTCACTCTGTGGTAGTTTCTTAAATCTCCACATATTCAATCCCGAACAACTGGCAATGCTCTTACCAAATAACTTTTCAAATCTATTAAAATGTAGCAAAGGCTCTCTAACCCCTAACCTTTGGTCCAAAGATATGTCCAGCACCTGTGAGTCATTGAATCGTAAATTATGATGTAATAGAAACACATGAAGAAAAATGGCTGTTGACTGTTGACTCCAGGGTGGTGTCGGTTTTACAAAGCCGCTCCATGCCGCTCCCCAAGTGGCGAAACTGGGCCCATCATGAGATTGTTGGGGCCTCGAGGTATTTGAAGCTCATCAAGCGAAGCTTGGACCCAGCTCATATGTCTGGTGCTGATGTTATTCTGAGTTGCCATCCTCCAGTGAAGTTTCCGCATGGCAAGCGGTGTGTTTAGCGTATTCTCCTTTTGCTGAGTTTTTGACTGGTGTTCAAGCATTTTGTTGGGGAAGCTGCTGGTTCGTTCACTGCAATTCAACTAGCTGCGCCTGACTGGTTTTCCGAATTCCAACCGCCAAGCCGCTAGTCACACTGATGTGCCCCAACCAGCTTTCAATGGGTCAATACCCCAAGATACCCCAAGTTATCATTGCAATAGTACTTGTAGACACACCATGTGAAAGTCCACAGGGAGATCTATATATATATATACATAGTTTCGTTGAGCTGTCCCTTCCTACAATTGTGATAATTGTGGGAGTATCCAGCGGTTGGTATCTCATTGTGTTGTTCTTGGAGGTTCGGGATTTTTTCTGGGAAACATTGGATGAAAAATCCCTATCTGATGTTAAAACAACATGGTTTTCTGCAACAAAGACAACCATGAGAATCACACCTTAAATCTTGTAGTATCTCAAAAAGAGTGTTTGGCTGGTGGTTTAATGTGTTGTTTAAATTCAATCCTGACAGTGATGATGATGATGATGATGATCCCAATCGGCCAACTGTTGTTTTTGCTATTCGGTTGGCTTGTTTTTTTAACCCAGTAGAACGACAATTATAATAATATCATAAACTATATAATTACTGGTAGTATAATGGCTAGTAGTATATCGCTTGAGATGTATTAATGAGTTTATTGACTATTAAATGGGAAATTGCACGTGGTAGTAGCAAGGTTACGCTGTTATTGCCGGGTTGGTTCTGCAGAAACCAAGTTGTATTTTCTGCACAAATCTGGTGGTCTCCTCTCAGATTCATCATATATCATATCCATATAGAATCACCAGATATATAGCTATATTTGCGTATTCTATATATATATATATATACAATTATATATATATATATATGCACCGTATACAACACTATACATGCATATATACATATACATGCATACATTCACGTGTGTGTGTATATATATATACGCATAAAATTAACGTTTCTTTGAAAACAGGCCAGAAATTTGATGCCTCCGAGGTCGTGCTTCCGGTGTGTGTGTGTACACTGCTAATAACATGCAGTCTAAATATTGATTTGGCAGGGGAGTGAGGCATGATTGTGGGACCGCACTCAACGAAGCTACCACAATCATGGGATACTGGGTCTGATCAACCCAGCGTACCTGCATCAGAGGATAGCGACCGGCTAAGCTGAGAACCAGAAACTAAGTAACTTCGATATAGCATCCGGCTAAGCTGAGAACCGGAATCCATTTTTCATATTTCATACTTCATGCCTCATGTCCTATGATCCGTTTCAGGCCCTTTATTCAGGAACTGGTGGTGTTCTTTTACTTCTCCTCACTACGATCGAATCTACATATCTCACAGTGTGTTTCGGGTACTTTACCTCACTTGGTAGTACCGTCTGTCCGTTTCGACGGATATGAAAGTTATGACCGGGCATTTTCCCGGCTGCAGAGTGGGATGTCGCCAACATCCTGAAGTTCCCTTTGCATATTACATGCAAAAGAAGTAGACAATGTCAAGGTGGACATTGAAGTTCGTCCAACACATATTGACAGCCATAAGGCGAAGTTTTGCCTAATTGGCGAAGTACCCACAAGGGAGAAGTTGTCGTATGACGAAGTATTTTGAATGCGCACTTCTTCCAGTACATGTGGTCATATCCTCAGTTTTGTGTGCTCTTATGGTATGATCTAATTCTACATTTAACCTTAGAGCCGTAGTGTCGAGCCATGGATTTTCGAACTTTTGCCAAATCATCGGGACCTCCCCCGAATTTGCCGATTCCTCCGGGAGTGATCCCCAACAATGTTTCGCAGCAGTTGAACAATTTACGTATGACTGAAACTTCTATGTCTTCAATGTTGCGTACCCAACAAGAGCATGCTCGTTCATTGGAACGAATGGCAACGATGCAAAGACAGATCATTGAGATGCAACAAATTCAGACTCAACAGTTGCATTCTATGCAACAAATGATGTTACCATTGGCCTTTCAATGCAATGCATTCATGTCTTCCATGTCTTCTTTAGTACCTGGTGTGGGAAATTTGTTTACTCAGCCGCTCACATTTGTCCAATCAGCATTGGGATCGTCGGGGACCTTGTGTGATCCTTCTCATGGACTACCTGGAAGCAGTCCGGGACCCTTGGTGCAGTCTGCTGTTCTACCAGCTGGTCCGGGACCTTCAGTGCCTACTCCAAGTGGTCCGGAACCCAAACGTCGTCGTCTCGATCTCCAACCAGACCCTCTTCATGAGCTACAGAGTGCTACAAGCTCAGTTCAGATTCCGCGCTATGGTCTTTACTATCATGTGAAGCAATCTGGAACAAGTAATACTCCTGAACGAATTTGGTCTTCAGTTAGTGAGCGAGTGGTACCACCAGTCCGCAATGAGACTGTCTGTTTTACCATTGGACGGACTCAGACTGATGATTCTTTTCAGACCAGTCATGAAGTCAAAGAAATGGTCCACCCTCAATTGAAGACACAAGGATTTCAATTTTGGGTCGCTCTTCCAGTGGCGACATTTTCATCTGAATTATTAGTGGGTGCAAACGATTTGTTCAAGACGATCGACATTCTTTTTCTTTATCAACAGATGCTTCGTATTCACAAATCAATTGCTGATAATCCATTTCGCGTGAAGAATGCCTTTGAAGATGGAATGCTGATCGAAGATACGAGATGTCAACAATGGATACCTAATGCTGACCATTTTAACTCCTCCCGTGGTTACATTACTCATGAAGATGCAGTGAATCACACTCAATTTTGGCATGATTACATTTCGACTGACTTGAAGCATCGATTTTCTGCACAACTACGTAACCCTGTTTTGCGTGAGTCTGTTTTGACATCTCTCCGCTTTCTGGTTACTGCTTTGGCACGTTACAGCAACAATGTTTCATTGGTTGAGAAATTTGAGATCATGTTCAACTCCCAGCAACAGCCTATTGCGATCTATGCGCACTTGGCACTCCTGCAGTGGCCTGCGGACAATTTTGATATTTTTTAGTACTTTGGATTTGGCCATAATACACCAGTATTGGGAATGGCCTCAGCTGTGCGAGAAGGGGTCGTTCGACCATCATGATGCGATGTACGGAGCCCAGACTGGCTGACTCCCAATACCTTCTACTCTCGGGGAGTACTGTTCAATGATGATTCTTCCTTTTCTAGGAAACATGTGCTGAAAATTTTGGAACAAGCCAAGAAATTTGGCGGCCTCAATACTGCTCGGCCTATTTGTATTGTTGGTCGTGCTTTTGCACGTCAAGCACACATTCGGACCCCACAGGGTGGAGTTTATGCAGATCAATTGTTGGGCTATTTCTTTGATGTTGTGCATGGATCAGATTCTCGTTGGGCATTTCGATCTTACCTTTCGACCATTCATGGAGTGGCTACTTTCATTTCGTAGATTCTTGCCAGATGTAACAATTCAATTACAATTCATGCTATGATAAAAAAGATGTCTGTGCTGCCTCTTACCCAGGAACCACTCAGGACGATTCTACCAAGGCAGCAGCGGCAACTTTGGCTCGGGACAAGGCTACACCTTCGCCTTCAACACGTGTGGAACCTCCAGTCATCCCCGCTCTTCAACAAACTTATTCCTGGGGATCAGGTTTTCGCAATGCGACATTGAGCAAATGATATATTTTGCCTAAACCTACCCGTGATTTTGTAAAAGCTCGACTAATTGTGCATTATTCAACAGCATGGGCTAGGAAATTGAGCAGTGCGATTTCTACTCTTCTGATCGAAATTTTGAACACTGTCTTTCGGTCCATTTTGGAATAACCGGATGTACGAGCTGTTATTGAAGGAATTCGTCGATTGTTTGCTATGGAGTCCTTCGCGGAGTCTGTGCATTGCTTGCATCAAGCAGACATTGCTGGTTTTTATAATCAAGTACAACTTTCCGGAATTTTGATGTCATTGTGTTTGTCGTGTACACGTATGCACAGAAAACCGAACAAGGTTTAGACACTGTCCTGCAGGCTCACATTCACAAGTTGGAACATTATCTCAAAACAATACTTTTCTGTTACATTGAGACACATTCCTGCTATTGTTCAATACTTGCTGGATAATTCCTTTTGTACGGTCGGGAGCCAAGTATTTCGACAATGTCGGGGAGCCAGTATGGGATCTCAGTTTGCACCTGTACTTTGTTCAGCCGTGGCTTTACAACGTGAATGGAACTATCATCTCTCTTTTTCACCCTTCACTTGGGATCGTTCATTGCATCATCGATATGTGGACAATCAAGATTTGTTAGGCTTGACGCAGTCTTGACTTCCTGATCTGTTTACAACCAAGAAGTCCCAAGATTTAAAGAGTTTTCTCGGACGGCTGTTTCAGTGTCGTTCCATAGATCACTTCGGGTTGCATCCTCAATGCGGTTTTTGGATCTATTTTGGAATTTGCACATGTTCAAGATGTCATTACTGGTATCAGTGCATTATTTTCTATGGAGGATTTTGCAGAAACTGCCTTTTCCTTGCGTCAAACAGATATCGCTGGTTTTTACAATCAAGTTGAACATGATCGTATTTTGTTGGCACCTTTGCTTCTCAGTGTGAACAAGGATTAGATACTGTTATGCAATCACATGTTGTTCGTTTGGAACGGATGCTTCGTGTTTTTTCAAGGATCTTGGAGAGAAAAGACGAAACAATATATGACTATTACTTTGCGTGATATTCCTAGCTTGGTGCATTATTAGTTGGATCATTCGTATTTCACGGTCGGGAGCCAAGTATTTCGACAACGTCGGGGTGCCAGTATGGGATCCCAGTTTGCACCCGTTCTATGCTCTGCAGTTGCATTTCAACGAGAATGGAACTTCACAATGTCATTTTCTCCATTTACTTGGGATCGTTCTCTACATCATCGATACGTTGACAATCGTGTTTTGTTGATTTCTCACCATAGTCGAAAGCTATCACATGTTCAGGTTTCTGGAATTTACAATTTTATTCTGCTCCCATTTTGTTGGAAGTGGTTGCTGGACAGGAGGCATTAGGTTTCCACCTTGATACGTTGCAACAGACTATCACTTTGGAATTACCTTGAAACAAACCTTTACGATCTATGCGAAGTGCTAGTACTTCTCGTGCTATCCTGAGTGGACTTTGTGCTCGTCTGCGCCTCATTCGTTTTCATGTTTTTCCAGCCAAAATTCAGTTGGGCCAGGTTCAGGATTTTCTGGGCCTTATGTATCAACGAATTCCTGAATTTTTCACTGATGCGAATATATGTTTAATCCATCGTTTTCTTCGTAGTCTTTGGAAGGACCAACCCGTACAATCTTTGATGCAGTGGTGTCGATAAAAAGAGTTTTACTGTGCTTCTTACTGATTCGCCTCTCATATTGAGAGGCCATGTGTGTGTACACTGCTAATAACATGCAGTCTAAATATTGATTTGGCAGGGGAGTGCGGCATGATTGTGGGACCGCACTCAACGAAGCTACCACAATCATGGGATACTGGGTCTGATCAACCCAGTGTACCTGCATCAGAGGATAGCGACCGGCTAAGCTGAGAACCGGAAACTAAGTAACTTCGATATAGCATCCGGCTAAGCTGAGAACCGGAATCCATTTTTCATATTTCATAATTCATGCCTCATGTCCTATGATCCGTTTCAGGCCCTTTATTCAGGAACTGGTGGTGTTCTTTTACTTCTCCTCACTACGATCGAATCTACATATCCCACAGTGTGTGTATATATATATATATATATATATACGCATAAAATTAGCGTTTCTTTGAAAACAGGCCAGAAATTTGATGCCTCCGAGGTCGTGCTTCCGGAGACTTGTTGACACCTGCAAGCTGGATGCGAGGCCCCACGTGGGGCCCCGTGGGGCCACAGATGGCTCTCCAGTGGAGGGAATGGTGAAGGGAGCTATGGCGATCTACTTTTCCTATGAAATAGGATATAGGGAAGAAAAAGGGAGCTACTAAGAATGTCCCTTTACAGGAAAGTATACCAAGCTTGTTGGAGAATTGGATAGAATCGCTGATGTACTGAGGTATCGGATCAAAATATACCGAAGCAAATGCACCATATGTGGGGGATGCACATCCATTTGCCAGCTATTTTAGCTGGTTTGACCCCATAAATCAACATGTTTCGTATACTTCGACCCCCATGTGTGCCGGTGAAATCACAATGTTTGATTCTTAAGTCCTAAATCCGTGGTGTCTTGTTAAATCCCCTAGTTATACCATTCAAATCGCCCTGTTTCGCCATAGAATTACCAGGTTTCCCATGGTGAAATTGCCACCAGGTTTCCTTCGCAGCCATCCGGACTACAAGTTCGATTCCGTGGTCTCTGAGGGCATGGCATATGACCTGGTTGAGGCCTGTAACGAGATCGCCCATGGCCATCGTGCGTGTCCTGAACTGCTGGGGGAGGTCGAGATTGAGCCCATTACCAGGACCGGAGATGGACAGGATAGTTGATATGGATGGTTTTAACATGTTTTAACATGTTTTAACCATCAAACGTTTGATCAAATAATTGAGATATAGTTATTCTAAACATGATTCAACCATCAATTTACACAAAGTGGTGCCCCATGGATCTTGCTTTTCGTATCTATTTTTTTTCACACCAACAAAACTGTTGGTTTTTGTGGTAGGTATATGGAACTATAGTTAATGGAAGTTGTAAACCATCTTAAAAACAAGTGGAACACCACGTCCTGGACGGGATGGTTATGTCCTTCATTCCGTGATGGAGAGAAGCACTTCTTAGAGATCCTTTCTGGGATAAAGGTGCTTAGCAATTGGACATAGTTGGGCTACTGTGGTATTCACCCAAAGCCATAAAGAACTATCATTTGGTGATAGGTTGAAAGGCCCATGTAACATATGGTAATATTAAGGGTGGTTTATGGCAGTGGGTTTGCTACATTAATTACCCTCTGGTTATTTAAAATAGCGACGGAAAAATGTATATAGATGATTTAAAATGATTGACCCGGGTTCACCGATTCAACATGGTTATTTTTCATAGCTATGTTAAATAGCCAGAGGGTACTTCATCACCTTAGCTTCCCATATCCTTCTCTCTGACTGCCCTGCAGGCAAGGACAATATGAGATTCCCCTGTTCGGAGAAAAGTTAAGCAGTACAGAGAGAGTCCTGGCTGTCCTGGCTGGGGATGGATAATGACATATAATGACCAACGAAACGTCCGGAGATGACGGTAAGTATCAAACAAATGAATTTTCATGAACTGTCAGCAACCCAATGTGAAATGTGTGGTGAAAAAAAGGGGCTTTAACCATTGCACTTCAGCCAATCACATGTCAACCGCGCAAAACGGAAGAACACCTGGAAATCTAACAAACATATGTGGTTTTCACTATAGTCATCACAGGTTTGCACGTTTTTTTTGGTCAGTGATGCCGATGGTGTTACACCCAACCATATAGAGGGTATACACACGTGAAGTGAACTGGCTACCCATGTCCCTGGGGCCTGTCCCAAAGATCGTTGTGGCATTGTTTGGTCGTTTTTTTTTAAATTTCCTCTTTGACATGATGTTCGTATTGACATTGACATCGTAGTGTTTGGCTATCTATAGAGGTTACACCGCACGAAATATATCGAAATATCATGTCTGGTTCTTTTAAGTCAGTTGTTGTCAATGTTCGTTGGTGAAAATGATGGAGAAACACCGCACATCAAGTGGCATGGCTGCGGAACGGCCGTGGCCCAGGAAGAAAACTGCTCGAAAAGCTCTGGCCGCGCTCGGGGTCCTGTCCCTGCGCCCCCAACGACTGCACGTGCGTTGGGGCGGCAAGCGCGGGGTGCTCGGTGCCGCGCTGCGGGCGGCGATGTTGGGGACCTTATGGAGCACCACAGCTGGCGGCCTGTAGCTGAGAAGGACACGGGATCCATATCCAAAAATCAAAAAAATAGCCATCGGATGGTGACTTCAGGGCATCAGCATGCATCAGCATCATCAGCCATAGTTGTTCTGGGGCTCTGTGGCACTGGTTTGATATCTATGTGAGAATACAACGATACAACCGCATGCTCATTGCTTCATATCGCTGGCGATGGTGAAAATTGGTACCTCAATGCTAAACGGGTAGCTCGAGGAAGCCAAAAGGCACATAAGACACCGCCACGCGAAATTTCCACACCAAATGCATGCTCCTGGCATGTTTCATTGCTCTGGGCCTGCTTGTCAGGGGTCTTAAAAAATTAGGAATCATTCGTCCCAAATAACAGAAGATGGACAGTTTGGGCCCACTATGGCAAGCCAAAAGTTGATAGAAACTTCCTAGATGATCTAGAAAGCGTATGATAAGCACATACTTTCCACGGTCCTCTTTCTCAATACATCAAACTCCTGGCATCAAGACTTGATTGTTTGGGCATAGCTCCATAAAAAGTGCCGAAGTTTTTCAGGGTGCACCCCCTTTAAAGGCCTATATATTACGGATTATTGGTGCTTCATAATTCCTTACTTAAATCCTTAAACATGTTAAAATTGTGTGATTTTTGTGTATACCCATTGCATCCCTTGGTTGTGTACCTCTGAGTTTCATCCTGGCATCACTAAAAACCGGGCCAGGCGTGGCAAGATTCGCGTGTAGCCGACGACCCGGGCTTGCCGTGATGAAGTTAGCACCCGGGAACCGTCAACCCCTGGCCATGGCGACCGCTTTGAAACGGCCCTGGCCGTTGAAACGGCCTTTTGGGGTGGGGTCCTGTGACCCAACACCTGGTGGACCTGGCCGAAAAAGGGATAGTAGCATGGGATAGCCCATTTGGTGGGAAGTTTCAGCTGAGGGACGTTATAAACCCCAGCAGACTTCTCTGCAGACGAAATTGGAGCAACTGCAACAGTTGGGAAATGGTAGGGTGTGTACATTTCAGAAGGTAGCGGTGTGGTATGGTAGCTAGAGTACTGGGCCTTGGTACTTGGCTGTTTGTAGTGGGTGAGTATTTGAATCATGGACTGGTGGTTTTCCAGTATAAATTGACACATGGACTGGACTGGTGGTATGTGAACTGTGTGACACGTTCAGGCATGGATTGGTCCAGCTCCTTCATGCTACAGATGCTTTAAAAAACATGGCATGATCCACTTCTGAAGTCTGCAGTCATTGGGTATCCCAGCTGATCTAAATTGGCAAAGCCTAGGATAGATTAATCTTTCGTTTGCTGGGGGCAAGTGCGTGATGTTTCCTGATCACAAAGCAGCAGGTGAAGGCATACATTGCACATGGAGAATTATAGAGATGACATATCATGATATAGGCATGATTATATATATATATATATACATATATATATATATATATACGTGCATATGTGTTTCAACAGGTGCATATCCGAGAATAGATGAGTCACCATCTTGCAGTCTTTTGATCACTTGGCTCTTGCAAATGGAGTTTGCCGTATGCACTACGATCTTGCTTGCTTGCAAGATCCCTTCATTAAGATTTCAAGCACGCGGCTGTTGCACTATGGTCGTGCCAAAGTGGCATGAAAAACCAAGCTGGTTGGTCGCTTCCATTGGGGATATGATATCTGGTTGGTGGTTTGGAACATGTTTTTTGTCCCCAATATTTGGGATGATGATCCAATCTGACTAATATTTTTCAGGGGGGTTGAAACCACCAATTAGATATGTATATCAAGTACATTTATCACTCACTGGGATGATGCCCCGACCAAGAATCTGGGACCGCCTTTTTTTTCGAAAATTGGAACGAATCTTGGAACCACAAAACACTGAAAATGGATGGGGAATGTGTCGGCCAATAAAAGCGCATAAAAGGCAATCGAATCATATCTAATTAGTCATTTTTGAACATCACATTTCGCAAATGCCTTCAGGTCCAGCACTGATAATGCATGTGTACTGGGTGTGCATCCTAGTTGGCAAGTGGATTAATTAGTTGGAGAGAGATAGTATGCAATAATTAGCAATGACCGTTATATTCTGTGCACATCCTACCATTGGGGTCCTGATGGTTAAACAAAACCTGTCTAACTGGGGCTGCACATCAAAGGTCTGAGAGGGGCCTTCTCCAGTACAGATCCCCAAGTCACCATGGTTTTTTCAATACAAAGTCATGGTCATCCATGGATGATTTGGGGGTGCCACCATTTTAGGAAACCCCTATGTTACCCTTTGGTAATTTAGCATGGCTATGAAGATTCACAATGTTTACTAATAGGTAAATCATCGAACTAAATGTGCCATGTTCCACAGCAAACTGTAAAAACTACTGGAGGGCAATCCTGTTGCCCAGCACTAAACATCGTGGTTTTGTGTTGAATGTCTTCACTGTTTGGCCCCCAAGGCCATTGCAAAACTTGTCCATTTGGGATACGATTTTTTTTTATCCACCCTGAGGAGTTGAAGCCACCCAACCTCGGTGCCAGCAGCAGCTTGTGTTACATCTCATATAGCTTCTCTCTGAAAAACTGCCCATGCGGCCATGTACAGAGGTGGCTCCACACGTCTCTTTGCCTCTTTTGCTAGGCGTCGTCATGATTTCACGGGTGATTCTCCACAGCAAGCTTCAGAATGGTCAGGGAGCAAAGCCATCTTGTGAATTCTGACCTGCGGTGGATGCAGTGTATTTGCTAGAAGGCCACCAGCGTCCGCAAGCCGCAAGGGTATACCCCCAGGATCTTTGGTGAGATCCCTAATGTTAATCAGCACACACACACAAGAAGAAAAAGGGGTGATATGTCACTTGAGGCCCAAGTTCTGAAAAGGTTCGGCATTCAATCAACCAAGGTTTTTTTCGGGCCAAAAATCTGGTTGAGAGGGTCCACGGAATCATGGGCCATCCATGTATCAATGTTAAACTACTAAGTATACAGGGTTTAAACCATTTTAAACCCAGTTCGCCTACGGGGGTTACTGGGATTTGATGCTTGCCGGACATCCAAGAGTCGTCAGCCTGGGCTGTTGATCATTGGGGTGATACCATTCTAGTAGGAAATGACATCACTAGTTGGGGGGTTTACCTCCTAATGAATCAAGAAGGGTTGATTGATTTGGAGTTGAGATTATAGGTCTTCCGGTCTTTCCTCAAGAATCGCTGCGACAACACCAGTCAAAACATTTTTTTTGGCATTGTTTTACACATGTTGCTGGCGGCTGGCGCCCCCATGCGCCCGCCATGCCCCGAGCTGGCAAAGAGTTCCCGTGTCCCGCCAACCGCCGCACTGGGCCTTGGCAAAGCTTCCTGTTGAATTTCCCGGGAAATTCGCGACCCCATCACCGCGCTATGGTGGTGATTTGGTTGGAGCCCATGGGGAAGTTCTTCTACGGGAGTTCGCGATCATTGTTACCACAGGCTGAAGAAAAGCGTTGTGAGGAAGCGCTGTGGCAGGCGTGTATTTTGGATTGCTTTGGTATATTTTAGATTGTTTTAGTGGTGAGACAACTTGGCTGGTGATGTATTTCTTGGGGGTCGGTCCTTTTGTTGAACTCTGGACTTAGGTTTGGGCGAGTTCTGGTGGGATTGTTTTCACTTGGAATCATCTGGATGCCAATTTTCCGTTCCTGAAATGTGTGCAAGGGTGTGTTGAGGATCAACTCTGGTCATGCCATCCATTTGCCAGTGCCTTGCTTGGAACTTGTATGCGCCATTTCTTTAGATAAGTTCCCCCTTAAGTCCTTACGTCGTCTTACGTGATCTAAAATGCTTATAGATGATCTTATACTGGTTGGTGGTTTGGAATATTTTCTTTTTCCCATATATTGGGAATATATCATCATCCCAACTGACGAACTCATGTTTTTCAGAGGGGTAGGTCAACCACCAACCAGTTATAGATCTTATAGGATTTGACAGGGATTTTTGTTGGGTGATCTGCGGTTCTTCATCTCCACAGGTGAACGGATTTTTCCGGGCGGCGTGACGAGGCCGGTGCTGATGTGCTGCAACATATGGTTCTGAATGGGGGATGTTCCTGTGTTTTCTGTCCTATGTTTCATATGTTTTCTGAACAGGACCTGTTTTATGTTTAGGATTTTTTCCATGTGTTTCCTATGGTTCCTGTGTTTGAGCAGTTGAGATTAGGGATGTTCCATCGTCTTTTTCTTGCTTCACGACTAGCTGGATGGTTAAAGACAAAACTACAAGCGGCCGACCATGGAACTCCACAAAAAGTCTTTGGAAGATGAATTATAATTACATATGATACTGATACTTGATACTATATTATTTATTATCGCGAAACACAATAAATATAAAATGCATGAATGCTTTTACTAGGCTATCATTCAATATTAGAGAACATGATATAGATGACTTTGATATTATGGACAGGCGGAATTGCGCATTGCTCAGACTTCTTGAACATTCGCAATCCTAAGCTTACCTGATTCATGATAAATCATAACTTATGACGAGAAGCTTGGTTCTTTCTCCTTCGGAGTGTTGGTCAAAAACAATTGTTGTCTTACTTTGCACATTAGCATATTGTAATGGCACTTGTCAAGGAATTATCTTGAAGATATGCTGGGATTGCTTAAAACTTCAAACAGCTGCATGATTACTCATGTTATCTCATGAGGTATCAGAATGTGTCAGAAAAACTGCGCGCCACCTATTTTTTGTTCCTATGTCACGAACTTCAGGGAAATCACAGATGTTCATCAATGCAATACCCAGCCCATCACATATTCCCAATGCATTTCTCAGCCTGTGAGGATTTGCCTCAGATGACGATCCAAAACTGAGGGGGAACAAATTCTGGTGATATCAGCCATGAAACACCGGACTTCTGGTGATGTTGATCATGAAACACTGACATTCACAGAATTCAACAACGAAAAACAACACTTTTTGACCACGGTGTTCTTATACATAATACATATGTATACATATGTATATATATATAGGTGGTCATATTCATTTGGTTATCAATTTCTGCCTGTCAGGGCCGCTTCCCAGACATGCTGCCCCTTGCGCGTTGGTCAAAAAGACCTCGAGAGCTGAGGGGTTGGAGACGCCGTCAGAAATGGCTAGGTATTGATGATCAATACCTACGATTTTAATAGGACAAATATATGAAAATCATCCAATTTTCCCGGAAACATGAGGGAAATAGCATCAAATACCAGTTAGATTTAGGGATGGAAAGGGATGAACATCCATGAAAATCCCCAAAGGTACAGGCTGTTTGAGGCATACCCAATGCCAAAAACAACAGTTTATAATGAAATAATGATTTATCCATGATTTGTCATTCGTTACAGCTCTCAATGCACAACCAGATGTCTCGATTTGTTTTGGGAATTGGATGGGCGCGCAGAATGTCACTAAATAGGTACGTAGAATGTCCACATTGCCACACTGAGACTTAAGACGTATGTTTTAAAACAGTGATCAAGAAGCCAAAAAAGTCCATCAATAGAGGTGCATTTACTCATTTACCGTGCTTGGGATTATTTGGCGACTGTAAAGCTCAGCGAATTGTTTGTGACTAGATGATGCTTTGGCATCTTTGGGGATTAAATGCATACTGTTTTAGGTGCTAACAAACGTTGGAAAAATGGGAACCCCTCGCACCCAATTTTTGGTGCATATCCCATTCTCAAAGCCTTCAAAGCCAAACGATTAATTGGGTGCGTGGGCATTCCAACGTTCAACGACCTCTGGTCGATCTGGTTGATTTGCCATAATTTGCCATTGTCTTAAACATGACCGACAAGATTTTGTGCCGCTTAAAAATATACAATTTAAAACAAAATCTTGTTGTTTTGTCGAACTTGTTGGTTTGCCAAAGTATATTTTAAGTGGCGGCATGTATTATGTCTTTATACGTTTCGATTTCTTTTGGAATTGATTGAAATGCCCTACATATGCCATGAACTGCTGGTCTTGGCTCAAGGCCCAGACAGTGTCCAGATCCTACCAAGAGATTGGATCTTTCCATCAAAACATCGGGCTCCCACCATAACTTAAATAGAACAACAACCCAAATAGAAAAAACAAGTGCTATGATTTAGCCATATATAACTATATAACATAACATGTCGTTTTTTTTTCCATTGGTTGTGTCGTGTTTTTTCCAGAATTTACTTCCATCCTCAGCCGGGGTGATCCCCATTAACCCGAGACGTCGGCGGCCATGCCGAGTAAGGATGCCGCCATGGTACGCATGGGCATCAACTTGGGTTCGCCCGAGGAGGAAGCCAAGGCGAAGCATGAGATGGGAATGAAACTAGCACCTGCACGAAGAAATGATCTACATGTATATAACTTTATGTATATATATATATATTTATTAATTAATCTATTTGTATATATACATGTGTATTTACAAATTTATTGATGATTATTTATAATATACATATATGTGTAGATATAGATCGACCATGGCTTGATGTGTATCATGTGTATATATATATATATATGTGTATTTATATATATATATGTATCTGAGCAAATTGCAGCGACGTCACACGACCTCACTTGAAATTTGACCTAGATACCGAATTAAGCTCGTGATGTGCAAGTGAACTATGAGGGTGCTGATTCGATGTTTTTCCACTGTCAATGTTCTTCTCCTGTGCCTGCATCCTTTTTCGTCCCTTGAGATGTAAAAAAAATCCTACCGCAGTGCCGTAGGCTGCTTTTCCTTCTAGCCCTCCCCCACCCCATCCGGAGACGTAAAAATTCCTACCGCAGTGCCGTAGGCTGGCTTCCCTCCTAGCCTTCCCGCACCCCATCCAGAGACGTCAAGATTCTTACCGCAGTGCCGTAGGCTGGCTTCCCCCGAGCCCTCCCCCACCCCATCCGGAGACGTCAAGATTCCTACCGCAGTGCCGTAGGCTGGCTTGATTCCTACCGCAGTGCCGTAGGCTGGCTTCCCTCCGAGCCCTCCCCCACCCCATCCGGAGATGGAAAGATTCCCCGCAGTGCCGTAGGCTGGCTTCCCTCCTATAGCCCTCCCCCACCCCATCCGGAGACGTAAAGATTCCTACCGCAGTGCCGTAGGCTGGCTTCCCCCGAGCCTTCCCGCACCCCATGCGGAGACGTCAAGATTCCTACCGCAGTGCCGTAGGCTGGCTTCCCTCCTAGCCCTCCCGCACCCCATCCGGAGACGTAAAGATTCCTACCGCAGTGCCGTAGGCTGGCTTCCCCCGAGCCTTCTTCCCGCACCCCATGCGGAGACGTCAAGATTCCTACCGCAGTGCCGTAGGCTGGCTTCCCTCCGAGCCCTCCCCCACCCCATCCAGAGATGGAAAGATTCCTACCGCAGTGCCGTAGGCTGGCTTCCCTCCTAGCCTTCCCGCACCACATCCGGAGAGGTAAAGATTCCTACCTATTGGATGAGTCTGCACGTCTTCTGGGAGCACGACCTCATATTTTCATTAAGTCACCACGACCTTGCTTAATTCCATACCTTGAAATATGAAATTCGACCCACGACCCGTGAAATATAGTAATTTGACCAGATGTATATATATATATATATTTGGATGACTTTGCTATTGAGGATTTTGTTTGTCTTGCCATGATGGGACATGGTCCAACAAAAATTAGGTGCCAAACCTTTGTTGGATGTGTTGCGGCCGCAGTGCAGCCGCAGGCGGCGCGTTTGGGGGTGACCATGAACGAAACCATGGTGCGCTTTCTGAACCTTCTGCGTTTGGCCACTTGGAACAATGATGCCATTGGCAGTCATCGACATCTGTCGATGAAGGGGGTTCAACCAGTGAAGATGTGGATTTTGCCAACAAAATTGTAGGGGCATGGTAAATTGGAGTTTGTGCTGCGAGGTATACATGGCGCAAAAAAATGGTGTTGTTTTCCCTCTTGAAATGGTCAGATTTGAGAGGCCAAGCACCTTTCAAATCACTGGGTTGTAAACCTACGGACTATGCGGTTGACATAACCCCCATCCATCGAATACCCCGGGGCCCGGTTTTGAGAGGATCATCGACCCGTGCTATTTTCCAGCCATGGAGCTGACCGAGGGTCAGGGCTGAGGGATTGTGAGGGCATCTTTTGTCCATGAACAAGGCAACATTTCAGCAACCCATTTCAGGATATTGTTCTTAGATATGATGCGACATGGGCATTGTTCTATTCCCACTGCTATGTGGGCTTTGCGCCAAGCTACGTTGACTTTGCACTGGATCTCAATCCAAGGGACGGCCATCACCAAATGGTGGTTTCGCAAATTTGGGGAGACAAACTTGGTAATGCTGAGCAAGGAAGCGTAATGAATCCAATGTTTGGTTTCTTTGAAATAGAGCAATTCAACATCTTACTACTGCTCATCATGTCTTCATTAAAATGACCGTTTTTGGTGGTATTTGTGTCCCCGGGTTGACAAATATATGATCACCCGGGTCAAAAAAATATAGTTTCCCCAAATTCCGCCTAAAATTCCATGTTTTTTCATGTTTGACCACAAAATCCGCCGAAAATTCGTGAGAAAACCTACGTTTTAGGTTCAACACCCCCCAGGTCATCGTTGGTTCGCCTGTGGTTCTGCAGAGCTGTTCCTTGGTGATGTTTTCTTATGGTGATTTGACCAGCCATGGTGATTCTTAGCATCAAACATCGTGCTTTAACCCATTCACACACACACATTTATATATATATATATATGTGTGGGTTAGTAAATACCAATGGTATATGAATGGGATATGATTTAGTTATTAATGATTAATGTGGTTAAAACAAGGCCATAAAGCATCCATTTGATCATTTGGAAATGCTTTGTACCACCTATTTATGGTGATTTTTGGGATGGTTTATTATTGTTTTAACAACATTATATATATATATATAACATATATGTATGTCTGGGTAAATTATAACGACCTCACTGAGACCTCACTAGAATGATGATAGTAAGGGGTAAGTATCCCCAAATGTCCTTAATTCCGGTTAGTGAAATAGTATAACTTACTGTACCCAAATATATAATATTGAATAATGGGATTTAAAGCATGCTTAACCAAGTCAGAGAAATATGATATCATGGTGGTTTGATGATGTTTTTATTGCATGATTGGGTTTGAAATATAGAACCAACTATGTTTTTTGTTTTGGTGTGTGTGTGTGTGTCAGAAAGTGAGGTTGACCACCCCACTATTGCCTAATTTTACATGGGGAACATGATGTTTTTACATGGGGAACATGATGACAGTCCGATTCTTGGGTGCCCCATGCTCAACCTGATCCCAATTAAATGTCTGATGGGCTAAACAGCCAAGCATCATTGAGACACATTAGGCATGCAACTCAATGGCATATGCATAAGCAACATTCTGAGATGGGTCAAAAGCAAGTAAAAAAATATGAAGGAAATGATAATGTCCATTTCAGTTCAAGATTTTGTGAACTATATCCTTTGATTCCCTAATTGCTGTCAGATTTGGTGTTCACAGCTCTTTTGGATCACCGCAGCAAGTAGTTGCATCCAGTGATTGGAAAACATTTCGCCATATATTGCCGGGTTGGCCTTGTTTGGGCTGGTTGGTGATGTGAAACCATCGGTTTTTTGGATAATTGTTTGCTTGGTGAATAGATTCGATGCTTCTGTTTACCTGTAATTTGTTACAAGCATTTTTTGTGCGTATTTGGAACCCCGAAATCACCATGGATATTCACTTTCAAAGCAGGCCATTTATACCCCCGTTTGTGGTATAATTTTCGTCATATGTTGAGGTCCAGTTCAGATCAGGTTGGATTCACTCCGTGGACCTTACTTCCTGGTTCCTTCGCCTCTTCGCCCCTTGGTATGTCGAGGTGTTTCTTCTCGGAAAAATCCCTCAATAGGAACCATGCCATGACCGTTAGGCACATCGGGAGCTCTAAAAGCCATGAGTAAAGATATTCAAGCAACCATTTTGTGTGCAAATGGGGATGATTGGGGATGCAATGGGAGACAATAATATGAGATGGGTTTGTCATACTGGCAACTTTAATTGGGAAAGTCATGATAGACAACTCATATACACACCCATGCTCGGGATTCAGCATCACTTGTTGTGGTTAAGTCAAACAGACAAAACCTCATGATGGCAGAGAGTTTTTCCAGATTCCTGCCGCTGGTCACCCTTGAGAACGCCGCAAATCAATTGTGCCAATCGTTTTTGAACAGACCATGGTCACTGGAGGGGTAAAGTAGTAAACCGTTGACCTCACAATCATGCAGGGCATCAAAGTATCCAGGAAACACAGTGAGAGGAGTACCCTCTGGTAATTTAACGTAGCTATTGGAAATGGCCATTTATAGTTGATTTACCGTTTAAAAATTGTGATTTTCCATAGCTATCTTAGTTTACCAGAGGAGTAGATGCAACAAACATAGGCACCTGCTGAGGAGGACCGTGGACGTCCTGTTCTTGGGATCCTGACCTGGTGTGACCCCAAAATTGCCTAAAATCAACTGGTTCGTGCTTTCACACATGGCTTTTATTTTCCATTTCATATATGGGTTGTCATCCTTCCCATTGACGAAGTCATATTTTTCAAGATGGATAAAACATGTTAAAACCACCAACCAGCCAATGAAAAACTCCCAAAAACTCTGTCTTCCTTCATCATTTTGCTTGCTAAGATTGCCATAGGCCATGGTGGTATCCCCATCTCCAGTTCACCGAGGTGCTCTATGCAGTCGTTGGCATCATTGGGATGTTGGTCGCGCCTGTGTCTTGGACCTGCCACGATGATTTGTGTATGGCATATGGAAAGCTGAGGGTATTTTTGATGGTACAGGCTAGGCTAGGAATGTGTTTGTTGCGGTTAGTTTTTCCTCAGATATTGATACTACATGATATTACCCTCCGGAAATCAAACATGGCAATGGAGAATCCACCATATATAGATATGGTTTCCCCATAAAAACTGGTTTGTTTAAAACCAATTGCCATATTACTAAAGGCTACATGGTAAAGAATGGTTTTGACCTGGGGGACACATACACCAGCTGTGTTGGTAATATGACGAAAATGTTGGGGTACCCAACTGGTGCACTCTCAAGATGGCGATGCACAGGTGGTACAAATGCCGATCCAAACATGGGAAGAGCTCGGAAGCATGTAATTTTTCCATATAGCGATAAATACATGGTCTTATAAAAAATTGAGTGAATTTATGCGATACTAACTATCTAACATGTTTCTATATAGCTACAATTGCCTTACTATTACTTACTATGTTTGTGTTTGTTTTTTTTGGTGGTTCCTTACAATGTGGCTACATGTTTTTTTTTGACATGATATAGCGGCAATATAGCGGCACTGATCTTCCAAGGTGTGTTGGGTGAACTCGATATTTGCCTCCCAAAAAAATGGAGATGGCTTAGTAAACCTTCCCATGGATCCAGGCGGTTGATTAATTCATGTCTTGCCAGGCAGTGGTTCATTCAGTCATGTTTTTTTTCTCCGCCACAGGAGCAAGCCTTCTACGCGATGGGCTTGAAGGAATTCCGTTGGGCCTTTGAACGCCTGCCGCTTGGTACCGGAGGACCCCAATTCTGGAGATTGCAGACACACATGGATCCACTTGGAAACAACTCATTGTCTCAGAGATGAAAACGTTTTTGGCACAACAAGCTAAGGTTGCCCAGAAATCCACAGTTCTGTCTGGATCATCAGCACCCAGATTGTGGGTTGGAATTTCACATGTCGGCTAGGAAATTTGGTTTACATACATTTTTATCGATATTTGGTCAAGGAACATGTGCAGAAATGCGTTTGCCATTTTCAATTTTCTGGTTGGATTTTCGCAACAGCTGGCGCCTGTATCGCATCATCGCATCTAAATGTAATGTATTGTAATTTGTACTGTAATTTGTAAAGTGCATTGCCATGGAATGCAGTGCGTGAACCATTATATATATATAAATATATATATATATGTTTGGATTTTTACTATATATTACTATATATATAATATTATATATATTATATATATTATATATTATATATATATATATTTTATATATATTATATTACTATATTAACTATATATTACTTCTTTGGATTTTTTGGTTTTTGTGACTCAATCCCAAGCCCAAGCCATCAATCCCAAGGTATCCGGAAGCGAAGCACTGGAATGGGAACCCCAACGCAGCAGATACCGACCCGGACCCGAATGCCAAGTTGATGCTTGAAGGATGCCGCGGCTGACATGACTTGAAGGTGAAACCGCCTTTTTTTTGACATGGGTGTTTACATATAATATATCTATATATATATATATCTATTATATTAGTATACATGTATATTTTATATATACGAATATGTGATGTGTGTTTATTAGTTATTTAATTACTGAATTTACTTGGAAAAACCTGTACACATACATACATACATGCATGCATGCATGCATGCATGCATACATACATACATGCATGCATGCATGCATGCATGCATACATGCATACATGCATACATGCATACATGCATACATACATACATACATACATACATACATTATATATATATGTAGTATATATATATTGTAAGTTATTGCATAAGTGTTTTCTGGACCTTGGATTATTTCTATATCATCATTAAGGATGGTTCACGACGCGACCACGATATTTCATGGTTCCCACTTGTGTTTGCCTTGTGCTGGCGAAATGCTTGCTTGCCTGGTGGTTCCCTTTTTTTTGAAACGATGTTCAACCACAACTTGGGATGATGATCCCCAATGCCTCCGACATACATTTGCCGATTAATGAGGGAAAAAACACTTCTCAGATAGAATCAATCCCCTGCTGATTGGTGGTTTGGAACATGGCTGTTGTTTTTCCATTGGGAATGTCATCATCCCAACTGACGAACTCATATTTTTCAGAGGGTTTGAAACCACCAATCAACTGGGTCTACCGAAGCAGGACCCAGTGCTATCAACAACTTGGGTCGAAAGGAGGCGGGCCAAGCACCACTTCGAATCCTAAAACCTGGAGAGTTAGGAGGGTCGATGTTCCAAACTCCAAAGATCCAACGTGAATTTCCAAGAATTTCCGGGAGCGTTTCTGAAAAAATTGCCACCGCCTTTTATCAGCGGACAAAACGAGATTCTCGAGGCGATGTTTACATTTCCAATCAGCAGGTGCAAGCATGTAAGTAGCTTCAGAATTCCAGTCACCAACCAGATAAAATCACCATTAAATCACCATTAAACCACCATTTTCCCATCTTTGTAGATTCTTTGCTGTTCAACATTTCCAGTCGAAGTGACATCTGAAACATTTCTAAAGCCGGGCAATCGCCTCGAAAACCCCCACCCGCCAGTTGCGCGTGCGTTGGCATGGCAGCGATAACTTCATGGGATTGGACAAAGATGGTTGGGTGACTTGGAGCAGACCTTTTCAGAGAAACATGGAACCCCCAATAAGCTGGGTAACTGGGCCATTTTTTCGCTAGTGAGGAAATAGTGTTTTTTTTCATTTTTTGGGGATCCCATGTGACTCAAGAAAGTCTTGTGATTTTTTGACGTAGCCAAACTGAGTTCTTTGGAAGATCACCTACACCCTACGCAGCTATAGGCGGTTACATATGCAAGGTACCTAAGATGTCAGGTACCCTCCGGTAAACTGCCACATAACTATGGAAAGATCCACCAATTTTTATGGGAATAAATCCAACTATAAGTGGGCCATTTTCAATAGCAAACTGTTAGTTTACCAAAGGGTACTTGAAATGCCTCTGATTGGAGAGTGATGAAGTTATAGGCGTTGCTGTTTGCTGGTCCATTTCAGCGTATGTTGATGGAGTTTCCGCTGGCAAACTGCCCAACTTTGGAGCGACATATTCGATGGGTGGCCAGATGTTGTGCTAAAATAAAGTTAAACTTGGGAACTGTCACTAATGAAAACTATGTGTACAGCCAGAAATTACCGTCAAGTTTCTGAGATTTCTAGCTAATGCAACCACCCGAAGTGGTGAATTTGGATGAAATTACATGGCGACACCATCCAAAAGTTATAGTTTTGCATCATTCAACTCCACATTGAAAGGACCTCCCACATGCTGCAGAAAAGTTGAACTTTCAATGAGGGTTGAGAAACCATATCTGATACATTCCCGTAGCATCCACGATGTATGGTAGATTTAGGTACCCTTGCCCAAAAAATGCAGATGTAGTACAATATGCAGAGTCACAGGATGATTTGGGCCAGTGCATTGAATATGATCGTCTTGTTAGTGTAGGGGAGTTACGGACCCAGGGATAACAAGCATTTTTACAAGATTGGAAGTTGACGAGCACCTTCAGGTGGTTCAAGACTCCTCAGCAGCAGCCCTGCAGATTCTGATGCGGCCGCTGATGGATAACAAGGGAGAAAGAGTGCCAGACACATATACTTTGCAGGTGGGATTGGCACCTGGGAAACCACTACTGCCAGCCCATCGGGCCAGGGTTCTCATAGAGGTGTGATTAGTTGTGGCTTTTACTCGTACAAGAGGCAGCTTAAGTTGAAAAGCCGCTTGTTAGAATCTCAGCGTTTTATGATAAGTTTGGCAGACAGTTGGGTTCTTTTCTAGTGTATGCCAGCAGAGGATTCTGCACAGGGCTCAGTGGTGGATTTTCTTCATGGGTCTTGAAATAGGGGCTTCCAAAGCCCAAAAGAGAGGTGTACAAGTCCGTAAACTATGATCTAAGCCGTTGCCAAAAAAGTCATGTGTCACCCTAAGTCACTGGATTAACATATAATTTATCCATTTGAACTTATATATATATATACACATATAAATATATGTGAATGAGATGTGCAACCATATATATGAGTTTACATAACAATCTACTTCCACTGGAAATTCAGCTATCACCCGAGTTCCAGGTGCGCAGCCGTGATGGCAAGTGGGATGGCTGCTGGCTGTCTTGTACCCCGGTGAACCATCTTCGTTTCGGTGGCTGGCTCCGTGCCTACCAAGCGGAGAAGGCTGGGGAAATCATGGGTCGTGATGCTTTCGCAAATCTTTTCAATAACTGTAACATACTGTAACGGTAAATAAGTCCTTCAAATATCAAGCACACCCCAACATGGCTTTGTTGTCGAATATTAACGGGTCATGGGATCATTGCTTACATTCTCAATGGGGTATAAATGATTCAAATTGGGTACATACGGGTACATCATCTATCTTTCTGAAGGCTTGCAATGATTTTGCGCAACTGTGGCACTGTGTGCCACCTGTCGGCACTCGGCAGATGGCAGGATGCGTGTCCTTTCAAGTTAATCCAGGATTCTGCTTGCCATCTTGGCACCTGCTGCTTGGCTGGCTCCCAGGTAGCGTCCCATGCGGGTTACCTTTGAAGATTTCGGATGGCATGGGAACATGGGAGCCGTTAAGAATACCCCAGATGACTTGGTTATTTGGGGATTCTAGGGGGGTTATGCTATCGGGTAATTGTTCATTATTGCAAGTGCAACCCATAATCGAAGGAAGTTTGGAAGTCAAACTTCCGACAATATGGAGAGATGAAAAAGCAGTCAGCAGGGAGAAGAGTCAGAAGAGAAAAGATCAGAAGAAAGAAGATGCAGGTGCGCGAAAAGGTAGGATAGTCGCGAAACACTGTGTTTTTTCGTGGTTTTGTGGCTCCGGAGGGTTCAAAAGTAGGCTCGCTAAAGCGGCGGGTGCGGAGACATCTGGGGAGATGAGAGATGAAAAGTTGCACGCCGTTGTGGCGCGAAGCACATTTGGAAGTAAAACGTGTTAAAAACGGAGGGGTTCGGACCACTTTTGGAAGTTGAGATGTTGAAAAATGCACGCCGTTGTGGCGGGAGCGAAGCACATTTCGAAGTCTAAATGTACAAAACACACCAGCTTCGGACCACTTTTGGAAGTTGAGATGTCGAAAAAGTGCACGCCGTTGTGGCGCGAAGCACATGTCGAAGTCAAAATGCACAAAACACCACATGTTCGCGCCACTTTTGGAGGTTCAGATCTCGAGAAAGTGCACGCCGTTGTGGCGCGAAGCACATTCCGAAGTCAAAATGTACAAAACACACCAGCTTCGGAAGTTGAGATGTCGAAAAAGTGCACGCCGTTGTGGCGCGAAGCACATTTCGAAGTCTAAATGTACAAAACACCACATGTTCGCGCCACTTTTGGAGGTTCAGATGTCGAAAAAGTGCACGCCGTTGTGGCGCGAAGCACATTTCGAAGTCAAAATGTACAAAGCACCACATGTTCGCGCCACTTTTGGACGTTCAGATCTCGAAAAAGTGCACGCCGTTGTGGCGCGAAGCACATTTCGAAGTCAAAATGTACAAAACACTAGGGGTTCGGACCGGTTCAGATGTCGCTTCGCTTCGCTTCGCTTCGCGTCATTACACTACACTATACACTCCACTACACCACAGTACATTACACTACACTACACTCCACAACACTACAACTACAACTACAGAACTACACAACTACACTCCACTACACTCCACTACATTAAATTACAATACACTACGCCACATTACACTACACTCCACTACACTACACTACATTACACTACACTATACACTCCACACACTACAGTACATTGCACTACACTACACTCCACAACACTACAACTACAACTACAGAACTACACAACTACACTCCACTAATTACACTCCACTAGACACCGCTACACTAAATTACACTACACTACATTACACTACACTAGAAAGATCTTAGATAGATAGATACATAGAAAATAGATAGGTAGGCAGGTAGATAGTCAGAGAAAGAGAGAGAAAGAATGAGAGAGATCAAGCACCTTTCAGTCCATCAGTGGCTTCGCTCTGCCATCCCGGATTCACAACAACCAAGCTCTCCTATAGGTTTCCTATTTTTGAAACTTCCGCCGCCGCCTTGTGCAGTACTACTGGTAGGACTACCTACCACATGCTTCAACTTTATAACTACCAGCTTATACCTTATCCCACGACCGGCTGAGGCAAGATGCTCAGTGCGTATGCCACGCCGCCGCAACAAACCCCACTGCTTGGAAAGGACGGGAGGTTGCAACTGCAAAGTTCTGTCTCCCAGTTATGAGTTGGTTTACTTCCCGTCTAGATATGTATCAACCAACTTAGCTAGTCATGTTGCACCACCTTGCGTGAATGAATCAGCAGCAAGAAGGGCTTACTGATGTCCATTGAGACTTCCGCATTGGTGAAATGTTCTGACACCTGGTTTGTGATTTGAAGTGTAGTAACCCCTTTTGCAGGCCCCCAAAAAAATAGGAAAGTCATTCATCACTACCACTATTTTAGTAGGATTCCCCGTTTCTGTCTTTTGGGGTGTTGCGATATGTTTCATTCGTCCATCTTGAATGTTGTCACCTTCAAACAGCTCCTCAACAATTTGGATACCCAAAGATTCTCAACAAAGAGACTGTGCCACGCATGCCGGCAAAAGAGTGAAACAGATGGATCCACCCTAAGACTTTCCAGTTTTTTTTCGCTGAGTGTCACTATGGTTATGACATGACAAATTAGCACTTTTGTCACAACAATGGTTACCGAGAGGTCAGGAGGTGGCATGGTTTCCAATCAGAGAACAATGAGAAACATACACAGTGAATTCAATTTTTATTGCACTTTGAGACACCTCCAATTTTGGATGGTTTATAGCACCTATTTCTGGAAGAGAAAGAACGGGTGCTGCCTTAATCCCTTCCCCCTAGTATAAAACAACCCCTTAGAAACCATGGTTTAGTAGGGAATTTCGCACATAATTGGAACCATTTATGGGGTGTTTAATATTAGGGTGATGGGATTAATCATTGGTTTTACCATGTTACATGCAGGATCCTGGTCACATTCCTGCGGGTTTTTACTTGGTTCAGCAACGACACGCTGGCCGCGTCTATGTGGGACAGGCGGGTTTGGGAGGATGGATGGTGCTGAAAGGGTCAACCAAAACTGATAGAAACTGATAGGCATTTGGAAAGAACAATGTCATCCTTCAGTGGGTTGAAGAGGAAATCTTAGCCAGAAACTCATGAAACCCATGGGTTTTCTCCATCAAAGAGAAATATAGTTCCTTAGGACAGGAGTTTCCTGTGAATTTACCCACCACCCCAGCAAAACTCTAGATTCACCTGCTGTTTACTGTAAGAGATTTAAGAGGCTTCCGTTTTAGTAGCAGAATATACAGTATCACTAATTTTTGATGGTGGTACCTGATAATTCGTCAACCAAGATTTCAAGTTTGCTCAGGCGCCGGATGCGGAAGCCGATTTCTTTGAGTTTTTGGAGGTGCCAACTGCTGTTGCCTTAAAGTGAGGCCTGCCGATGTGGGACTTCAGTGGGGGTCAAGGCACGCAGATGAGCACAGAAAAACCATGGAAAAACCCACATCTCTCGGTCATGTAAGGTGACACGTGGAGTAAGTACTGCTAATATTTGCACAATGAACCATTTTGATCCATTTTGAAGAGTTTTTTTTTTTCTCCCTCCCCCAATGCACAGCTATGCGACCAAACAAGGGCTTTGATACTGGTTGATTCCCTGAACATGAATGCTTCGATGCTGGCCACGAGAAACATGTGGGGTCTCGCTTTGTTTGCAGGCAATATCCCAGATCATCCACTATATGTACGTGCAGTCACCCCTATCTACAAAAAAATATGCATATGTGTGTTGTGTGCATATCAATATATCAATATATATATACATATATATATATATTGTATAATATGATATGATATAATACAATTCAATAAAATATAATATAATAGAATAGAATATAATAAAATAATATATTATATCATATAGATATTTATATATATAATGTTTATTTATATGTGGGCAGACAGACAGACAGACAGACAGATAGACCATACGTACTATGCACATGGCACATGACAGGCCACTTCCGGATCTTTGGATTTCGGTTAATCTTACTGGTGCTTAGTAGGGAATGGATGGGTTGCTGGGGGTTGCTGGGATGATTATTGATAGTTAGCCAGTGGATCATTCCCGAAAATTCCCTGCGTAAAACGCACCAGTAAGTAATTACAGTTTATGTCTACCTTGGATTTACTTACTCACTCTGACTAAGCAGGTAAGCAGGTGAGCATTTGAAATGATTGAGCAGTTGATATCAATCTATAAGTAGTTTGTTTGTTTTGCTTATTAAAATGGCACCATCAAAAAAACAACAACAACCAGGGGGGGTTCTATCACAATACATGGCACCATACCGTTGTAATCTATCATTATGTGGTAAAATGGATGTATATAAATGGCATCATAAATGGCATCGTGGAATCCCTATCATGTTGAAACCCTTTATCGATGGATACTGCAATCGATTTATTCTTCGAGACCTTTTGCATACAACCCGTTTCCCGGAACAAAAGTTCCCCCTACTTCGGTCCCTGCATATATCCAATACCAAAGCAGTCTTTCCGGGAACTATTTATAATTATTTATAGCAACCTTCAAGAAGATAGAACAACAACACAACCCCGAACCCCATGGTTGATCATCATTTTGTCAATTCAAATGGCCATTTTAAATGGGCTGAATCCCCTATTTTAATCTATTTTATATACTAGATATACTTTAATATGTTTTAATCTATAAATAATATATAGATGATATAATCTATTTTAATCTATGTTAATCTATAACTATAATCCCCTAGGAATTATGCTTTGGATATAGATATGCTTCCCATCTCCCAATTCGAATCCCATGATGGGAATTTCACGACCCAGATTGATGTACCAATCTTGCCCTTACACACAGGCCTTATATAAGGCCATTGAAATGAACATTGAACATGTATGAAAATTAATATATTGGTACTTTCAATATCAACATTTTTTTTTCTGAAATGACCATTGACATAACATCCCTATTTGTTGATGGTTAAACCGTTAACCCTTTTTTTTTGCAACGCGCGCAGCCACTGGCCACCAGGCGGCAATATGCAGCATATGAATCTGATGGCCCTAAGACAGATCGGCCCCGGACATGGCAAGATTTTACAGACCGAAAGGGGGAGAATTCATGGGTCTATGGTGGTTTAAGTTGGTATAGATTTATAACAATCAACAGTTTGAATTTTTTTAAAAGGATTTCATGATATTTATCATTATTTATCACATAACCACCGAAGAACAATTTGGTTGAATATTGGGACTTCAAGGCATACATGAATACATATAGGGAAATCCAAGTTGCAATGAGCCTGATGTTGATCTCAGTGGAAGGCTAGCGGTTTGACTTCTTCTGGGCGGATAGGCATTAAATAACTATCACATAACTATCACTATCATTCACTATCAAAGGATGTCAGACGCAATGAAATAGTATAAAAGATGAATTGAGGCATATCACTCTGTGGCGAGTCCTGGTAGAGCGTGCCAACTGCCATAGTTTGCAGCCTCAAAGAAGTCTGTAAATGTTTCAATGATGCACATTGATTTGCAATATGTTCATTGATTTTCCATATCTATCAAAATCAGCGCAATTGATCCTGATTAAAGTTCTCCATTTTCATGCGGAGGAAAAGTCATCAAATGGGGGCCAGAGAGAGACCGTTGAACTGGGGTAGACACCCCCAGAAACTTTGTTTTCTTACCCATAGATTTTGAGACATTTTTTTTGGTATGGAACATGATTTAACCATATTGAACCACATTAACCTATCCAACTTAGGAGCTCCTTACTGTTGGAAATGTGCCCGAATCCTTGCCTGTTGAGTTCCATTTTTTTGTTGTTCAAGCCTTTGTGGCAACATTCCCATTTTCTGACTCTAATCAGTATCCCCCTTTTCAAAACATGAGTCATCGTGATATGTTGTGTTTATGTTCAATCCTCATTATTTGGAGTTGATTCCACATTGTTTTTTTTTTTTAGGATTGACGAAATTGCCAAGTGTCACGACGGTGCTGATGCGTTGTTTCTACTGTAAATGTCTATACATGGCGGACTGCAGAGTGCAATGTGCGGGGGGGGGGCAGGGCGGTACAACAATTCACGGCCCAGTTTCCAGAGATTGTGTCTTTACTGGAAGATACTGGAAGGAAACCGCAGCAAGAACGATTTATATTTGATTGGATCGAGCAGAGTTGCATGTTGTGGAGGTCTTTGCAAGGCAGCTTTTGTTTTGGTCCAAGTGACAGTATGGAGATTGTGGTTAACAGTTTTTGCAGACAGGAAGTCAAAAAATCGATGACTGCAATTGCATCAGCACAGCTTCATGGGATCAATTGTTTGTTTGTTTGGGTTATTTCCGTTCAACAAAATGGATGCGATGGTCACGAGTTTGTAGGTCTGTAGGTCACCAAACACCATCAAACAAGCCGCATCACTGGATGCCCATGGACCCAGTGGATCCTTTTGTGGACAATGGCACGCAGGGCTTGAAACTCAGGGGCCACGAAGGTTGGAAGGTGTTGGGGCCACGATTGATACATTCATGAAATTAAAGCCATCACAAATTCAAGGCCTAGGGGCCTCGAATTTGTGATGGTGAAATGCATGTACCTTTTAAGCATCCTTTTGCCGTGAACGCATGATTTTAGAGCCAACTACCCTCTGGTAAACTGTCACAAAACTATGGAAAGTCACCATTTTGAGTGGATAAATCAACTCTAAATGGCCATGTTCAATCAATAGCTATTTTGACATAACCAGAGGGTGATTTCTTCCTGGTAAACCGTGAGGGCATTGGCGGCCAATTTTGGTGTCTCCATTTGTTCATTTCCAAGAACTTCATTTTTTCGGAACGCTGAGGGTCTATGATTCTTGTTGTTTTTTCCCCACATGATTTGGCAAATATAAACCATAGATATGGATAGATATGTTTTTTTTTTTTGCGAAAATTTGGACTGTCAGTCCCTGTGATCAAAGCATTGGTTTCACGAAAATGATCCGTTACATGTTCTAAATTGCTGGTTGCTGGTTGGTGGTTTGGAACGTTTTATTTTCCCCAATAGTTGGGATGATGAAACCACCAATTAGTAGAACTAATATATAGGAATAATCATCCCAACTGACTTTCATATTTTTCAAGATGGTTGAAACCACCAACCAGTGATATCTCTTACACTCTTGGATGGTGTTTTGCCATGCACAGGGGATCGACAAACCGCCGGTTCTTACCATTCAAATGTTTGTCATGTGTCAAATATGCGAAGTACAAGTGATTTGGATAGGCCAGATGATCATGGTATGTTTAGCTGCTTCACCCTGCGAATCACTCACTACCCTTTGGTAATTTAACATAGCTATGGAAAATCACCATTTTTTTCATGGATAAATCCACTATCAATGGCCATTTTCAATATTGCTATGTAGCAAATTACCAGATGGTATATCAATCACTAAATTTCTATGAGGACCCCCCGTTGAGAAAAACTCACATTTCGACTTGCTGCTTCGCCCTGAGATGATGATTTTCAGTGTCCTGGTCACTGTCGGCGGTGAGTGCCCGCTGGGAACTGAGATGTTTTTCATATTCTCCGTGCCGGCTGCTGTATATATATATATACATATGTATATATAGATATATACATATATATATATATATATTTGGTGATAATTATATGGAATTATGATATTATCATCATTCCATGTATTATCTATATATATAATTATATATATAGGGAATGGGATTATGGAGGTTTCCGGAGTCATGAAAAAATCACAATGGGATTTCCACCTTAAATCATCCAAGTCATGGATGACCATGACTTCGTATTGATACCTATGGAGTTTTGGGGTATCTCCATTTTAGGAAATATGTATATGGTTGTTATGATGAAAAATATGATTCATATGATTGTACAATATATATATATATATAGCCACCCCGAAAAACCTGAAAAAAACAAAAACAATCAAAAGGCACACATTGATTGTTGTGATGTTCCATGGAGCATTTGGGATCGATTTCACCTATAATAAGGTGTGGAAACCAATGGTTTTGGAGCACCCAGAGAGTTCATATGTTGATCTCATACTGCTATGGTCAATGGATTGGTTAGTGTTGGGAAAATACCGGAAACCATCGGTTTTCCCATTAAATATGGGATATATATATATATATGGATATATGGGGTTGTCCTGTAAATGTTCGCTTAAACCAATCCATTGATATGGATGTCTTCTGAAAACTCTCCAGCGTTTCCTCATTTCCCAGGCTTGCAACTTGTGAAGATGGCTCAGTGACGCTGTTGCAAAGTCAGGCGCGCGAAGGATGGGGCGTCTACGCCCCAGGAATGAAGAGATCCAATGCGAAATCATGGCATTTTCGGGTATCTATTACCCATATGCTCCATGGATGGTATATTTACCTACAAATCTGGGTGATTAAGATATGACTGAAAAGAAATAACACTATAAAATCCTCCTCAAATAATAGCCAATTAAGTATCTATCACATACATATATATATATATATATGTATATATATATATATATTTGAACAGACATGTTAAACTTGTTTTGGGGTTCCTGGATCTGATATGTAAGCCACTGGCCAGCTTTGGCTCAAAAATTGGGTACCCATGGACTCACAAATTGATTATTTTTTGATTTTCTTAGTATTTGAATGCATTTGACCAGTTTTTTTTGTAGAATATTCCCATCCAATTTATTCTAATCTCATATTTTCCATAACTGAAGCTGAAGTTCCCTCATCTTGGCCGCCATTTTTTGTTGCAGGCCCGAGCGATATCACTGATTTTACGGCCTATGATTGTTGATACCAGTGCATTTTACAGCATTTTGAGCGGATAGATTTGTTCACGACCCGAATTTCCGACGTCACTGGTGTATGATGGTGAAAAAGATGAAAACTATCCCGTTCAGATGAGTGCGAATGTTTTCGGCTTATATTGGCCATGTTCCAATTGATGAACCTTGATTTGATCCGCACATGAATGTTTTACCCTCCCTAAAATTCCGAAATTCACATAGACTTTGGCATGAGTTGGGGTTGAAACATGAGTTTCCACTAAAAATTGGCTTCCTATTCAGGGTCAACCTGTTAAATAAGCAGGTGGTAGGTCTTTTCACCATGATTCTACTTGGAAGTGCAGTTCCCAGTTAATCCAGTTATAAGTCGATAAATATATATATATATCCCATAGGATCCATGTATGCCATATATGGTAACATTTACCATCAATATACCCCAAATGTTAGCATATATACCAGCACCATGGATCCTATGGGATATATAGAATACATCATGATTATAGGATATTATAGGGACTACATCCCAACATTTTGGGAGTTTATGAACATGGAAGTCAGGCAGCGGAGAAACTTGTCATCACCTCTCCACCACCAGAGATGGAGCTGAGGCTAATATTCGGCTATTTCCGGGTCGGACCCAGGATCTCATGGGGATATGGACCACTTTATGGATTTCTACAGGATGGGGCCCCCCCAGTTATAAGTGGGTTTATAAACCATAATAACCCATATTATAGTTATATCTACCATAAAGCCACTTATAAGGCAACTTAGCTATCTTGGGGGCCCCATCCTGTAGCTTGTGATACCTTTTGGAATTGTGACTAGTCAACTTGATATGTGTGTTTTTCCCGGATGAAACATGATGAAAACAAGCGTTTTCTAGTGATTTCCTCATGCAAAATGGGGATTAAACCATGAAACATGGGACTTTAGCCAATGAAGAATGGTTTTATAGAGATATAGCGCGGGCATTTTTATATCAGGATATGATGTAATGTGATACAGGGAACGAAGAAACTGAATATGATGTTGGGTGTGTCTGAAAATGATAAATACCTCCGAAATGTATCAAAATGTTATATCATGTTTGTAGGGGAAAATTATAATAATGTCGAATACTGATTAGTGTGGCCCCCCCTCAATTTTACGACACTCAATAAATCGACATTTTAAACGCCCGCCCCCCCACAACAATTTTTAGGATAGTCAACTTAAGTAAGGATTTCAATTGACATCAATCTACTTTCAATTGATTTTCCTTTTCAATCCAAAAAAACATGGCCCCAAAAGTTTTTTTTTCTGCACAATAG